ACATCACCCACCGTGGCCGGGGTTGGCCAATCACGGACACACGCAGTTTTCTCCGGATCTGTGGCCACCCCGTCCGCACTAACAATATGCCCCAAGTATCGAACGGAGTGTTGCAGTAGGTGACATTTTTTTGGCTTGAATTTCAAATTAGCAGAACGCATCCTGGTGAATACAGCCTCCAACCGCAGTAAATGCTCATCAAATGTGCGGCTGAAGACGATAATATCGTCTAAATATATCAAACATGTCTCCCACTGCAACCCCGTTAATACCAACTCCATCAACCTCTGAAAAGTGGCAGGGGCCGCATTCAACCCCATCGGAAGACAGTTAAATTGGAATAACCCCTGCGGCGTACGGAAAGCAGTCTTTTCTCTCGAGGGCTCGTCAAGGGGGAGCTGCCAGAAGCCCGAAGAGAGATCTAGCGTTGAAAAGAACTTGGCCCCCGACAAGGCGTCGAGAGAATCGTCCATACGCGGCAGGGGGTACGCATCTGCTACCGACACTTTATTCAACTTACGAAAATCGACACAAAATCGCAATTTGCCATCCTTCTTTTTAACCAACACAACAGGCGCGCCCCATGGGCTGTTAGACGGAGATATTATGTCCGCGTTCAACATGTCATCCACTGCCCCTCGAACATGCTCTCGCTCAGCCGGACTCATCCGACGCGAGTTTAAGCGAATAGGGGCAGCGTCCCCTGTGTCGATATGATGATAAAGCAGCAAGGTGCGTCCCAAGTCCAAATCATCGGAGCTAAACACATCCGAATAACTCGATAATAATTTACGAATCGCACAACGTTGTTCGCCGGAAAGGGCTGAATTCTCCCCACACAATTCAGCAATCCAACGATCATCCACCGCTCCATCGTGTGAAACACCCCCAACCAGCCCCCCGCTGGACAGATCACTGTGAGCCGTAAACGCCGTAGTGGCATGTGCCACAACGGTACCAGCCGGAACACACACGCTTTCGGTACTCGCGTTAAGCACCTGCAAAAACGGCCGCTGATCTGGCCGGACAATAGTTTGCGCCCCCACCAGCGCCGATCCGCCCGTAATAGCGGCGGACGGCGACAGCAAAACCCCAAAAGCTCCCTGCCGACCAGGCACCGGCTTCCGATGTCGTAAGGGAATGAGCATCTGTGAGCCAGGTGGAATATCAACAGAAACTTCCGATAACACCTGCACCTGGGCGACAGGAGCAGGTCGCCCCCAGGCGGACGGTGAAAATGCCATTTTACGGCCCCCCGGCAATTCAATGCAGTTTTCATTGATTCGAATTAGAATGGGCATTTTAGCGAGAAAATCAGTACCCAACAGGCAAGGAACCGCAAGGGACCTCGAAATTAACACAATTCCCGAGGCCGACACACCCCCGATAGATATGTTAGCATCCACCTGCCCCACGATGCCCATGCTACCCCCGTTCGCAGCGACGCAAGAAGCGTAAGCTGGACTCACGGCCCCTGGTGGGATGTTCAAAAGGTGGAATATCACGTCCGAAATGATGGTCGCGGACGCACCGGAATCCACCAAAATACGTACGTCCACCCCTTGGATCGACCCGGGTACAGTGGACGAACCGGTAGCGGCCGCGACAACCTGCCGAGCCAACTTGCGCCACTGCGTTACCGAGCGACAAGGCGCAGATAATGGCCTCCCGTATTTAACAACATCCGCCTCGCACGACAATGGCGATGAGTGAGGTGTCAAGCCTTGCCGGGTGTCTGGTGCGCACCGACTTGCCTGTGCTGTAGAATCTTTCTTGGGAGCGTCCGCTGTCGAGGCCTCCTGCTGGGGCGGACCCGGAACGCGGGCCCAGCAGTCCCTGGCATAATGGCCCCGACGGCCGCAGCGGAAGCACTCGATGTCGCTGCGGCGCGCAGCGGGCACCCCGTCCCGACACGGCCGTATCGGCGGCGCAGCCCGCGGCCCCGGCCCACCCCGGGCCGGCCACGGAGCGGAGGCGGCTGACAGCTCCTGCTGGCTGCTCCCATCCGGCACGTACACGGCCTTTTTAGGGTCCCACCCTAAGGCACCCCCCTCGACGACAGGACCACCTGTCCACGCCGTAACTTGTTTCCAGCGGCGGAGGTTAAACTGGGCGTCCAGACACTTCGCCGCAGCCCGGGACGTGAGTTTTTCATGACCGCACACCGGCATAGGAATGCCGAGATCCCGGGACAACTCCAACATCTTCCCCAGGATGAGAGGTTCCAGCAGGTCAGGCTCCGTCTCCGGGTAAGCGGCCATAGCTAGCTCCAACACCGCGCCCCTATACGCAACCGGTGACTCCTCGGGTGCGCGTTGTCGTTGCACAAACTGGCGATGGGCATCATCCGGCGGCTCGTACGCGTCCGCCATTTCGTCGAACACCCCTCGCAGAGTCTTCTTCTTCGCGGCTTTTATAGAGCGAAAAAAACGAACGGACTCATCATCGAGAAGGGTCGGAAGAACCTCCAGTGCCTTGGCGTCCGTCCACCTCGCTGAGCGTACTGCTGCCAGAAATCTACAGGCGAACGCACTCCAATCGCCCCCGATGGAGAATTCCTTGACAGTTGTTAAGTGACGACTGCGACTCCTTGGCTTGCTCCCTCCGGCCGCTGGCTCCTCCGGTGGCAAATTTAACATGGCGTCGCAACGCGGTGTCGACAAGATGGCGGCTGGCAATCGTGGAGGTCCCAAAATGGCGGCTTCCCGCTTTTCGTCGTGCGCCACGCCCAAGATGGCGTCGTCGTGCCGCGTGGCCGATGGCGGCGACATCAAAGACAACCCGGACTCCTGCGGACCACCAACATCTCCATCCGACGCCGCCCTCGGCGTGACAAGCTCACACAACTGAGTAATGACATTCTTGAGAGTTACAAGTTGCTCCGCCATCTGGCTCCATCTTGAATCCGCGTCCTTTGGAGCAGACGGGTCCGCCGACACGACGACATCTTGGACCCCCGGACCCGCACTCATCCCAGCACGGATCTCTTCTTCTGCCAGAGTCAGGCCGACTTCAGGAGGAAGATCTTCGTCGTCGGAAGATGAAGCCGATGCCGGAGACGGAATATTCTTTTTTCTGAGTTGTTTCGCCATGCCGTTTCACTTCTGACTCCAGTTTAATAAAAGACTCGGACGCTTCTCTCTGACTCCGTGTCCTTTATTTGGGTTCTTCGTAATTACCCTCACGGCACTCTCTTAGAGATACTCTGCTTGCAGCCCCCGGCTGCTATCACTATTGTAGCCTCCTTCCTCTCCTTGCAGACTCGCTGCTAACTCCGTGTGCAGACTCCCGCTGCCAACTCCGTATGCAGACCCCCGCTGCCAACTCCGTGTGCAGACCCCCGCTGCCACCTGCAGCCTCCTCGCTGCTCCGGGTCGGTCACCGTTGGCCGACGGTGCCGAACCTCGTTCCCCGCATACGTGGCGATCTCGCCACTCTCCCGCTCTCGCCCTACGTGGCCTACCTCGTTCTTAGTCTCCCGTCACTCCCCTCCTCTTCCGGTTTCTCTCCCTATAGACCTGACCCCTCTCCCCCACGTGACCTAACTCCTCCCCTCATGACGTCACCTCCGGGAGGTCGTTCACGCCCGCATTACACCTGTATAAAAGACACCTGGGAGCCAGACATTTTTCTGATTGAGAGGGGGTCAAATACTTATTTCCTTCATTAAAATGCAAATTAATTTATAACATTTTTGACATGCGTCTTTCTGAATTTTGTTGTTGTTATTCTGTCTCTCACTGTTCAAATAAACCTACCATTAAAATTTAGACTGATCATTTCGTTGTCAGTGGGCAAACGTACAAAATCAGCAGGGGATCAAATATTTTTTTCCCTCACTGTACCTGGGCAGTGTGCTCATGACCGGCTCCGGTTTGACAACAGAAGTCTCACTCCGAATCAGTCGAGCGGCATTATCTTTACATCCGTTGCATAACCCTGTGTGGAAGCTACCTGGTCTGTCGCTCTGCACGAAGCTTCAGGTCTTCTCGGCCACAGTCATTCCCTCCCTTCTCTACGCTTGTGAAACGTGGACCCCCCTAATGGAACATCTTCACCGGTTAGAAACATTTAGGCTGGCCTGCCGACGATCCATTCTGGGTTTAACTAGACTGGATTGTGTGAGGAGCTCACAAATCCTTGAAAGATCTGGACAAGGTCCCATCGGTGAGCTCCTCCGGCAGGCAAGTCTGCGTTGGCTGGGTCATGTAGCCCGCATGCCCAGCCACCGTATGCCTAAACAGCTTTTGTTCGGCCGGATCGAGGGGGCTGAATGGGCACGGCACGGGCTAGAGAAGAGATGAAGTGACGTGGTACAGGAGGACGTGGAGTTGAGTGGAATTGCCGATGACTGGTACCAGCGATGTCAAGATCGGCCTCTGCGAAGGAGGCTCGTGAAGGACGCTACTGGGCAGTTGGAGGCAGTCACACCCTCCAACAACAACAGAGGGCGGAGGAGCAACGTTCATAACAACGAGCGGAGCGCCGTGTGGCTAAAGCACAGCAAGTTGGCACAGTAGGGGGCACAGGTGGTGCATCAGCCAGTCATCTCGGTCATCTCAGTCAATCGACCCGTGGCACCTGGGTCTGCCCCGTGACCTCCTGCCAGCGGGCATTCGACACTTCACATGGCCTCAACGTGCACATAGCCTGGCACAAGCGTCATGGTGATGTCACCGCCTCTTAGTGGCGAATGGCATTTGTTGTGTGAATGCGCGTGTGTGTAAATGCACGTGTGTGTGTGAGGCTCTGTGTGTACGCGTGTGTAGGGAGCGGTGGCACGGTGATTAGCGCCTACTGCAGCTATGGACCCAGCCAATGAACAGCGGCGAATATCTGAACCAGTTTTGGACCTACCCCTAGGTCGACTCGGCCCTAAGTTAAGCACCCGGCGCGATGTCTCAAACGTCACTGCTTGGGGAGACAAAGGCGGTCTGTGAGAGGCTACGCGGTGGGGGCCGGTGGGGGACCCCCTTTTTGTTTTTCCTTTGCGTGCACAGAGCTGGGTGATGCCCTCTCTGCCCTTCATGGTGCTGGGTCTGGCCGGGGTCTCCGCTGGCTGCCTCTGCCTCCTGCTGCCCGAGACGCTGAGGCAGCCGCTCATGGAGACGCTGCACGACCTGCCGGGCCCCACGGCCACACGCAAGGTGCACTACAATACAGGGACGTGCGGTCAGGGGAGGCAGGGGAGGCAGGGGAGGCAGGGGAGGCACAGCCTCACCTGCCATACTCCAATGAAAACACTGGTCAACTTTTGCAGCTGTTTTATACTAATTTCAGGGTGCTGATCCCAAATCTGATCTCAGATTTGCTCTATCACATCTCATTTTTATGCTATCGGCATACCCCATTTTCATTGATTTTACCCGAAATTAACTCTGTCACTTATGATTGCAAGTTGTTGCGAGTCAGTGACTGCTTTAGTGTTACAATATGGTGCTGTATTTTTATGATAGTGTGTTTATAATATCATTTTATGTAGATATCCACATTTATTTAATATTTTTCTTCTGCAGTTTTTATTGAAAATGCAATATTTGATATCTCAAAAATCTGATGTGATAGACAAAAATGCCATATTTGGAATCAGCACCCCAAAATTACCTTAAAACCGTTGGAAAACCTTATGCCAGAAAAAGTGTGTTGACCAGTGTTATGAATAATATTGGTCGCGAAAGTTTACGTGTTAAACTGACTAACTGGCTCTGACACTAGCCAGTGCCTCCCCAGCCATTGATCTCACCGCACATCACTGCTACAACACACTGTCCACTATGCTACACACTACGCTATACACTACACTCTACACTACATTACACTATACACTACATTACACTACACAATATACGCGTCACTATACACTACTCTAAACTACACTATACACTACACTACTATACACTACACCAAACACTAGACACTAAACTACACTATACACTACGATACACTACACTATACACTACACTATACACTACGATACACTACACTATACACTACACTACTATACACTATGATACACTACACTATACACTACTATACACTACGATACACTACACTATACACTACACTATACACTACACTATACACTACACACTACACTATACACTACACACTACACTATACACTACACTATACACTACACTATACACTACACTATACACTACTATACACTAAGATACACTACACTATACACTACGATACACTACACTATACACTACATTACGCTGAGGCATCCACTCATGGAGACGCTGCACGACCTGCCGGGCCCCACGTCCACACGCAAGTTATAGAGTGGGGGGGGGGCAGTGTCTCCTCCGCCAGGTGGTTGGCTGCTCTAAATTCCCACTGGTGACGATTATCTGAACCGGTCCTGGGCCTCCCCTAGGTCGACTCAGCCCCAACCAGTAGCTGGTGCGGTGCGAGGGAAGAAGTAGAGAGAGAGAGAAGCGAGGTGTTGACCTGCAGTGGTTGAGTGCGTGAGCGAGTGGCGAGTCGTCGCTTAGTCGTCGCGTGGTGCTCGTTGGCGCACTGTGATGTCACTCGAGTTCGATTTCTGCTCACGGCCAACAACAGTTGCAAACATTTGAGCCGGTTCTGGGTCTCCCCTTGATCAACTCAGCACTGGGGAGACAAAGGCGGCCGGGCGTGGTGCTGGCCACCCACCCCCTCTTGTGCCGTGCCGGCCTTCATATACGCCGATCGTGAACAGCACTTGCCCCAACAGTCTGTTAAGGCTACACGGTGGTGGGGGGGGGGGGGGGTCTTTGCCTTTGAATCAGAATCTTTATTTAGACTGGCAGAATCCGGTGAGCTAGAAAGCTCTTTTTCACCGACGTCCTCAACAGTGCGTACGGCATTTGCCTGCCCCAACAGTGTTCAAGGCTACACGGCGGCGCGGTTTCTGTGTGTTTTCGTCCTCAGAGCTACGCGCTGCTCGAAGCCGGGCACCCCAACCGCTCCTTCCACGGCGACAGCGAGGACGAAGAGGATGACGAGGGGGTCCGGGAGACGAGCGGCAAGCCCATCTAGCGCGGCACGGCGGGGCCCCTGAGCCCCGATGCCTGAACTCTTGAACGACGCTTGAACTCTCGAACCCTTAGGTGCCGTCCACACGCCACGAGCAAACGGTGGGCGACACGGTGGCTAGGAGATGTTAATTACCTCGCCTCGTATACAGGAGGATAGTGGGTTGGATCCCGACCCTGACGCATGCTGCCTATTCAAAATTCGCGTGTCTCTCTCTCTCTCTCCCCGTGGTCGCGTGGAATTTTCTCCGGGCCCTGCGGTTTTTCCCTCCACATTTAGAATGGACGTCAGTATTTGGCTGCTATGAATTTCCACGCGACGGTGAGCCACTTAGTCGAGCTCTGATTTGTGGCGAGGTCGCTTCTGAAACAGTGCTAACGTCGCTCAGTCGGCCTTAAACTTGTCAAATAAAACAAAGTTTGTAGTTTTGTAGTTGACTGGTGTGTCGTAGTTTTCACGATGCCCATGGATTTGCGTAAATCCTCGAGATTCGTAGAGCCCAGGGGACAAGGCATCTTTGGATTTTCTTGGCCTGTTACTCTCAAGTCGACATTCGGGCTCCGGCTCCGGCTTGAGCCACTGCCGCTCCCCTCAGTAGCTTCCAAAGCCACGGCTCGCGATGCGTCTCAGCCGAGGCGCAAGCTGTTGATGATACTCAGGACTCGTCTTTGTTCGATGCTTAGCCAAAGGCCGCTGCAGCAGCGGGGATGAACCGGGAGTTTTGCGATGGGAGCGACGCAATCGTACTTGCATGTTGAACTTCTTTCGCGCCGTACGTAGCCTACCTATGCAAAGTGACTGAGGCCTTGGGTGCCACGGTGGCCAGGAGATGTTTACTACCTCGCTCGGTATACAGGTCGTGGGTTCGATCCCGACTGGCGCCTGATGTATATTTGGAGTTTGCGGTGTCTTGCTCTCTCCCCGTGGTTGCGTGGTTTTTCCCCCCCTCCACTTAACTAAGCTATCGTTTTTAAAAAAAGAGAGCTACATGGCTCGGTGGGCCTTTACCCGGTAAAAAAAAAAATAGTTTTGCATGTATCGAACCCATGGCTATGCTGCTGGTAATATGCACAGCCAGTGAGGCTCGTGCGGTCGATGGGATGAACATTAATCTACTTTTGTTGGGAGAGGCAAATATATTGGTAAATCGTGGGCGGGCGGTGTCGGACGATTTCGACAGACTCCAAATCTAAATGCTGTGACGTTTTCCTTTTGTTCACTTCCGCACAACAGACAACATCTTTGTCAACAACAACCAAAGAGAAAGGCTTTTATTGATAAATATAAAAAAGTGCCATGCACAGTCCGCTCGCGTGAACGCTTGTGAGCGAAATAAAGTCGCCGCGCTTCGCTGTGATGATTACCCCGGCGATTTCAGACTCTCTTTGTCCATGCTGGACAGCCCTCACTCAGAGACGCAGAACAATCACCCTCCGCCTACTCCACCTCCATCCTCATATTCCCTCCCTCATCCTCCTTCCCTCTTTCCTCCCTCATCCTCCTTTCCTCCTTCCCTCCCCCCCCGCTCTCCACCACACAGTCCGGGTTTGGAACTCGCTTCTGTCCATCTGTCCTCGTGTGGCCCAACTCTGGCCAGCAACGATTTTGCATCTCACTGGGCGGTGGTTTGGGGGTGACGGCGGTGGATTGGAGGTCAGGGCGGTGGATTGGAGGTCAGGGCGGTGGATTGGAGGTCAGGGCAGTGTATTGGAGGTCAGGGCGGTGTATTGGAGGTCAGGGCGGTGTATTGGAGGTCAGGGCGGTGGATTGGAGGTCAGGGCGGTGGATTGGAGGTCAGGGCAGTGTATTGGAGGTCAGGGCGGTGGATTGGAGGTCAGGGCGGTGGATTGGAGGTCAGGGCGGTGGATTGGAGGTCAGGGCAGTGTATTGGAGGTCAGGGCGGTGTATTGGAGGTCAGGGCGGTGTATTGGAGGTCAGGGCGGTGTATTGGAGGTCAGGGCGGTGGATTGGAGGTCAGGGCGGTGGATTGGAGGTCAAGGCGGTGGATTGGAGGTCACGGCGGTGGATTGGAGGTCAGGGCGGTGGATTGGAGGTCAGGGCGGTGGATTGGAGGTCACGGCGGTGGATTGGAGGTCAGGGCGGTGGATTGGAGGTCACGGCGGTGGATTGGAGGTCAGGGCGGTGGATTGGAGGTCACGGCGATGGATTGGAGGTCACGGCGATGGATTGGAGGTCACGGCGGTGGATTGGAGGTCACGGCGGTGGATTGGAGGTCAGGGCGGTGGATTGGAGGTCACGGCGGTGGATTGGAGGTCACGGCGATGGATTGGAGGTCACGGCGGTGGATTGGAGGTCACGGCGGTGGATTGGAGGTCACGGCGATGGATTGGAGGTCACGGCGGTGGATTGGAGGTCACGGCGATGGATTGGAGGTCAGGGCCGTGGATTGGAGGTCAGGGCCGTGGATTGGAGGTCACGGCGGTGGATTGGAGGTCACGGCGGTGGATTGGAGGTCACTGCGGTGGATTGGAGGTCACGGCGATGGATTGGAGGTCACAGCGGTGGATTGGAGGTCACAGCGGTGTATTGGAGGTCAGGGCGGTGGATTGGAGGTCAGGGCGGTGGATTGGAGGTCAGGGCGGTGGATTGGAGGTCAGGGCGGTGGATTGGAGGTCACGGCGGTGGATTGGAGGTCACGGCGGTGGATTGGAGGTCACGGCGGTGGATTGGAGGTCACGGCGGTGGATTGGAGGTCACGGCGATGGATTGGAGGTCAGGGCCGTGGATTGGAGGTCACGGCGGTGGATTGGAGGTCACTGCGGTGGATTGGAGGTCACGGCGATGGATTGGAGGTCACGGCGGTGGATTGGAGGTCACAGCGGTGGATTGGAGGTCACAGCGGTGGATTGGAGGTCACTGCGGTGGATTGGAGGTCACAGCGGTGGATTGGAGGTCACGGCGATGGATTGGAGTCACGGCGGTGGATTGGAGGTCACGGCGGTGGATTGGAGTTCAGGGCGGTGGATTGGAGGTCACGGCGATGGATTGGAGGTCACGGCGGTGGATTGGAGGTCACGGCGGTGGATTGGAGGTCAGGGCGGTGGATTGGAGGTCACGGCGGTGGATTGGAGGTCAGGGCGGTGGATTGGAGGTCACGGCGATGGATTGGAGGTCACAGCGGTGGATTGGAGGTCACGGCGGTGGATTGGAAGTCAGGGCGGTGGGATTGGAGGTCACGGCGATGGATTGGAGGTCACGGCGGTGGATTGGAGGTCACGGCGATGGATTGGAGGTCAGGGCGGTGTATTGGAGGTCAGGGCGGTGTATTGGAGGTCAGGGCGGTGGGATTGGAGGTCAGGGCGGTGGATTGGAGGTCAGGGCGGTGGATTGGAGGTCAGGGCGGTGGATTGGAGGTCAGGGCGGTGGATTGGAGGTCAGGGCGGTGGATTGGAGGTCAGGGCGGTGGATTGGAGGTCAGGGCGGTGGATTGGAGGTCAGGGCGGTGGATTGGAGGTCAGGGCGGTGGATTGGAGGTCAGGGCGGTGGATTGGAGGTCAGGGCGGTGGATTGGAGGTCACGGGCGGTGGATTGGAGGTCACAGCGGTGGATTGGAGGTCACGGCGGTGGATTGGAGGTCACGGCGGTGGATTGGAGGTCACGGCGGTGGATTGGAGGTCAGGGCCGATGGATTGGAGGTCAGGGCCGTGGATTGGAGGTCACGGCGGTGGATTGGAGGTCACTGCGGTGGATTGGAGGTCACGGCGATGGATTGGAGGTCACGGCGGTGGATTGGAGGTCACAGCGGTGGATTGGAGGTCACAGCGGTGGATTGGAGGTCACTGCGGTGGATTGGAGGTCACAGCGGTGGATTGGAGGTCACGGCGATGGATTGGAGGTCACGGCGGTGGATTGGAGGTCACGGCGGTGGATTGGAGTTCAGGGCGGTGGATTGGAGGTCACGGCGATGGATTGGAGGTCACGGCGGTGGATTGGAGGTCACGGCGGTGGATTGGAGGTCAGGGCGGTGGATTGGAGGTCACGGCGGTGGATTGGAGGTCAGGGCGGTGGATTGGAGGTCACGGCGATGGATTGGAGGTCACAGCGGTGGATTGGAGGTCACGGCGGTGGATTGGAAGTCAGGGCGGTGGATTGGAGGTCACGGCGATGGATTGGAGGTCACGGCGGTGGATTGGAGGTCACGGCGATGGATTGGAGGTCAGGGGCGGTGTATTGGAGGTCAGGGCGGTGTATTGGAGGTCAGGGCGGTGGATTGGAGGTCAGGGCGGTGGGATTGGAGGTCAGGGCGGTGGATTGGAGGGGGGATGAGGTCAGGGCGGTGGATTGGAGGTCAGGGCGGTGGATTGGAGGTCAGGGCGGTGGATTGGAGTCAGGGCGGTGGATTGGAGGTCAGGGCGGTGGATTGGATGTCAGGAGCGGTGGATTGGAGGTCAGGGCGGTGATTGGAGGTCAGGGCGGTGGATTGGAGGTCACGGCGGTGGATTGGAGGTCACGGCGATGGATTGGAGGTCACAGCGGTGGATTGGAGGTCAGCACGAGAAGCCGAGCAGGAACACAGAACGGGTTGAGGGGCAACGCGGGCGGCGACGAGAGCCGCGGATCAACAAGCGCCGTCGCGCCGCCCCTAGCGGCCACACCACCCACACTGGGCACGCCACCCCATCGGCCACACCACTGCCAAGGGAGGTCTTCTTGTCCGTGATCTTCATGGTGTCCCGTGTCTCTGTGTCTCTCCTACCAGTGTCTACCCCTATCCCTGCATCTCCTCCCCGTGTCTCCGCATCTCCTCCCCGTGTCTCCGCATCTCCTCCCCGTGTCTCCGCATCTCCTCCCCGTGTCTCCGCATCTCCTCCCCGTGTCTCCAGCATCTCCCCGTGTCTCCGCATCTCCTCCCCGTGTCTCCGCATCTCCTCCCCGTGTCTCCGCATCTCCTCCCCGTGTCTCCGCATCTCCTCCCCGTGTCTCCGCATCTCCTCCCCGTGTCTCCGCATCTCCTCCCCGTGTCTCCGCATCTCCTCCCCGTGTCTCCACGTCCGACTCCGCAGGCCCCGTGAGGTGGTGCTGAGCACGCCGGAGGAACCGGCGCAGCGGCGTGGAGCTCAGGCGCCGTACCTCCTCCTCCAGGTCGTCCAGCAGCTGAAGCACCAGCGCACTCTCTGTCACACACACGCACACACCACCACCACCACCACAAGACCCGCCGTTCGCCACCAATAAGTGGCGGTGACGTCGCCGCCACAAGCGCTCGTGCCAGGCTCTGTGCACTTTATGGCCACGTGAAGTGTCGAACGCTCGCTGGCAGGAGGTCACAGTACAGACGCAGGTGCCATGGGTTGACCGACTGAGATGCCTGGCGAATGCACCACCTGTGCCCCCCCCCCCCCCCCCCCACTGTGCCAACTCGCTACGTTGCTGGAGGGCGACTGCCTCTAACTGCCCCAGCAGCATCGTTCATGAGCCTCCACAGAGGCCGATCTTGACACCGCTGCTACCAGTCATTGGCAAGTCCACTCGGCTCCATATCCACTCGTACCACATCATTCCACGTAGCCGGCACGTATGGCACGTACGTACATACAGCAACAACCACAACAGCTGCCATTCGCCACTGTAATGTGCACATCGCTCTCGTAGACGATTTTAGGTGCGAAGAGAAACCACAGACGAGAGGGGAAGGCAGCAGCGGCCACGCAATTAACCGGCACTGCCTCGCCTGGTTTACATGGGGTCGTGGGTTCGATCCCGGCCATGACGCCAGCTGCTGTATATTTAGAGTTTGCGTGTCTCTCTCTCATCATCATCATCACGGTGGCTAGGAGATGTTAACTACCTCGCCTGGTGTACAGGAGGTCGTGGGTTCGATCCCGACCCTGACGCCTGCTGCTGTATATTTAGAGTTTGCGTGTTTCTCTCTCATCATCATCATCACGGTGGCTAGGAGATGTTAACTACCTCGCCTGGTATACAGGAGGCGGTGGGTTCGATCCCGACCCTGACGCCTGCTGCTGTATATTTGGAGTTTGCGTCTCTCTCTCTCATCATCATCACGGTGGCTAGGAGATGTTAACTACCTCGCCTGGTATGCAGGAGGTCGTGGGTTCGATCCCGACCCTGACGATGCCTGCTGCTGTATATTTGGAGTTTGCGTGTCGTGTGGATTTTTCTCCGGGTCCTCCGGGTTTTCCCTCCGCATTTAGAATTGACATCTCGCGTTCAGAGGACTTCGCTACCACGAAAATTTTCACGTGAGAAGCCACTTGGTTGAGCGATCATTTGTGACAGTCGGACTGTCGCTTCTGAAAAGGAGCTGGAGTACATATCGCTCAGTGTGGGCTCTGACATGGTAAAAATAAAAAGTTAAAAGATTTGATTTCGATTTAAAGCTTTCGTGACTGCAGGGATTCATGTTCTTGGTTCTTTCGGTAAAGTCATGTAGAAGGGAAATAATAAAATAATAAAATAAAACAATAAAATTCTCACGACGTTTCGATTGCAACACAAGAAATCATCATCAGGTATGAAAACCACAGCAAGAATTTTTTTTTCACCGCCACTTTTTTCAAATATTTCTTGCTGTGGTTTTCCCACCTGATGATGATTGCTCGTGTTGCAATCGAAACGTCGTGAGAATTTTATTGTTAAATTTTTATTTTAAAAAGTTTTAGTGTCTATCTCTCTGCACCCACCTTTGGCGTTGATGGGGGGCGGTGGTCCCGTCTTGAAGGCCGACGCCAGGTACTTGTAGACACAGCCCAGGCTCAGGGTCTCACCCCTCTCCTGCTCCTCCTGCTGCTGCGCTCCCCGCGGGGAGCGGTCGGGGGGGTGCAGCAGCGGCTCGGCCGTAGCGGGGGTCGGGGAAACCCCGGGGGAGCGGGGGTTGAGGGAGGGAGACCCCAGCTGGTGAGTTTCAAGATCGCCGATCGTGAAAACCTGGAGAACACACGCACAGAGAGGGAGAGAGACGGAAAAGGTCCTTGGTAAGGGCGCGCCTCAACATGCGTCTGGAGTTGTGTCGTTTAAAAACTCCAGAACTCACCAACTGCAGGGATTCATATTCTTGGTTCTTTTGGTAAAGTCACGTAGAAGGGAAATAATAAAATAAAAAATATATAAAACAATAAAAATATTAAAGAATAATTTTTTATTTTTGTTATTTTATAATTTCCCTTCTACGTGACTTTACCAAAAGAACCAAGAATATCTCCTAGCCACCTTGATGATGATGGTGAGAGAGACACAAACTACACATATAGAGCAGGCGTCAGGGTCGGGATCGAACCCACGACCTCCTGCATACCAGACGAGGTAGTTAACATCTCCTAGCCACAGTGGCACGATATTAATTCCCCGAGGGCACAAATATTTAACTGAAACGCTGCTGCTATTGGTGGAACAGGTAATTTGGAGAGAACCATACCTGTCAACCCCTAATCAGCGCCCTACCTTATTACAGACCAATTCAGACCTTATTGGTCACCCCGTGCCCTTATACATCTCAACGTTCATCTTACAAAGTCCCATCGCAAGGGAGAAACACAAACAAATAGACAATTTTTGGTTGCCCGTATTGAAACAGCTGTATGCTGAGTGGACCCAAAAACTCGATTTCCACTGTGCAAGAAGTACAGGTAAACCGTATGGGTTGACAGGGACGTGAAACAGCGATATTAATTTCTCAGTTCAGCTCACGAGGAGAGCTGAAGCTTCTGTCGACACACCTGATGACGCTGCCTGTAGTATGCAGTGAAACGTTGAAACATCCCGGTCTGCCGGGAAACCAAATCGGTTGGCCCATTTACCCCACGTGACCGCACCTTGGCAATGTACGGTGCCAAAGACGTTCAACGTAACAATTCATGCAGGGTGTAGGGGATCTGCGAGCCATCATCACGCACCACGCAGGACATGACACTCTCCGCACTCGGCGTAGTGCACACCAATCGCACGCACGGGAATACACTGGACGGGGGGTCAAGGGTTAAAGAGGCGCTGACGTCACACGGACTCGGCGTGCGAGACGGAGAATGTGTGTTGGGAATGAGGCGGAAATGGAGGGTTTCAGTGGCTGTGAGACACTCTTGTGGTTCTTTCGGTAAAGTCACGGAAGGTATAAAATTACAGCAGCCCTCTTGCCCACCCACTCAGCAGTTGTTTCCTGCTGTGGTTGTCCCACCTGATGACGGACGCTTGTGTTGCGCCTGAAACGTCGTGATTTATTTTATTTTATACCCACGTGACTTTACCGAACGAACCAAAGAGTCGGATACCCGGCAGTCACGAAAACTTCAAATCCTCGACTTGGGCTGTGAGGGGTTGGTATTAGGAACCGAGTGTGGCTTGTGGTTTAAAAGAATAAAGAAAGAAGCCTTCAATCAGTCTCCGACGCCTCTTCAACAGGTACTCATTCAGGCTTAATCGGCCTTGGGGACGACCCAGCACCAGGGTTCTGATGTTCGCTGTCACCGATGTTGGCCGTGAGAGGGAATTGAACTTGGGGTCGTCAGGTTCGTACCGCAGTGTGCTAACCACCCGCGTCTACCCGCGTCCCCCTCCGTGTCTCCCTGTGCCTCCCCGTGTCTCCCTGTGTCCCCAGGTCTCCACATGTCTCCCCATGTCCCATCCGTGTCTCCCGGCATCTCCCCACAAACCACCCCCCCCCCCCCATCTGCGTCTCACCACGTCCTCCCGTGTCCCCCCACGTGTCTCACAGTGGAGGGTTCCTCACCTGCGTGAACGCGGTCGAAGTGGTGTCCACCACGGAGCCCGAGGCCCGCTCAGCCACCTCGATCCACCGCTGCAACGGGACACGGAGACCGCACCCTGTGGCAACCGGAAGCTAAGGGCTCGATTGATGGCAATGACGACTGAAATAATTTAATACATTTCAGTATTCCTGCCATCATTCTTCTATTTCGATTAATAGCTTTCGTGACTGCAGGGATTCATCTTCTTGGTTCTTTCGGTAAAGTCACGTAGAAGGGAAGTAATAAAATAATAAAAATAAAACATAATAAAATAAAATAATTTTTATTATGTTTTATTTATAAAATAAAATAATTTTTATTATGTTTTATTTTTATTATTTTATTACTTCCCTTCTACGTGACTTTACCGAAAGAACTAAGAAGAATCATTCTTCTACTTTATCGCTCATTCGGATTCCTCCAGTATAAATATTATGTTGATGCTGCTGTTAATGATGATGACGAGGATGATGCTGCTTACTGATAACTCTTTTATTTTTATTTAACAGGTAAGGCTCACTGAGCTATAGAGTTCTTTTTTCAGAAGTGACCTGGCCACAAATAATAGCTCAACTAAACGGCTTATCATGGTGTGGAAGTTTATATCGGCCAAATACTCGAAACACGTGTTGCTGATTCGACATGTGGAGGGAAAATCCAGAGATCCTGGTGAAAAAATCCACTCGACCCACAGGAAGAGAGAGAGAGAGACACGCAAACTCCAAATATACAGCAGCAGGCGGTCAGAGTTGGGATCGAACCCACGACCTCCTGTATACCAGGCGAGGGGAGATGACATCTCCTCGCCACCTACGGCGTTCATAGGTGGGAAACGCTTCGATTGTGGGCTAAAAGGGGAGCTATCCGAATGGGTGCGACTGGGCTGGGTGGGAGGCTCAGCGGTAGAGTGGGGTGCCTTGTGGGATCGTATGTGTTTGGGTGATTTGTTGACCTTTCTTGAACTTTGCAGTCCTATCGTATTTTGTAGTTGTGTTGTCGTTGTGAGTTCTTACCCCGTGCCCCCCGATCTGGACATCTGTGAAAAAGAGAGCTCCGTAGCTGACCGGATTCCTCCTCCAGTATAAATAAATACAGTAAAACCTTGCATTGCAAGTAACTGGTCTGCGAGTGTTTTGCAAGACGAGAAAAAATGTTAAAGTAAATATTAATTTGATAAACGAGCGAGGTCTTGCAATACGAGTAGTACGTGTAGTATACACTTTGTCTGCCGAGCGTCACGTGATCACAACTGATATACGAGTGAATTTATATTTAAAGCTTTCGTGACTGCAGGGATTCATCTTCTTGGTTCTTTCGGTAAACCAGGTCCGTCGAGGCGACAGAGTCTGAATGAAACAGCACACGAGCTTGGAGCATATATATAAGCTGGGCGCCTTGACAAAGGAATTTGCATATCAAGAGAAATGTAGCATATTTATGGGAAATGCAGGAATGTGATTAGTACTACATATGCATGTGCATTATGCAGGATTAACAGCATCAAAGGGAGCTGCAGTTGCTGCTGCTGCTGCAGTTGCTGCTGCTGCAGTTGCTGCTGCTGCAGTTGCTGCTGCTGCAGTTACTGCTGCTGCAGTTACTGCTGCTTCTGCAGCTACTGCGCTACTGCAGTTTCTGCTGCTACTGCAGTTCTGCTGTGCAGTTACTGCTGCTGCTGCAGTTTCTGCTGCTGCTGCAGTTTCTGCTGCTGCTGCAGTTGCTGCTGCTGCAGTTTCTGCTGCTGCTGCAGTTTCTGCTGCTGCAGTTGCTGCTGCTGCTGCAGTTTCTGCTGCTGCTGCAGTTGCTGCTGCTGCAGTTGCTGCTGCTGCTGCTGCAGTTGCTGCTGCTGTTGCAGTTGCTGCCTTATCCATTTTAATATAACACTATGTATTATTCCCCACCCTAATGTGTATCACACTGCTATATATTTACTATACAATTATGACACCATACATTACTCTGCACACTGCACCATGCCAGTGAGTGGAACGCGGTCTGAAAGTCACCATAAACGTGAACACAATCAGTTAAGATCCGAAATGGTTTATTACATCCTTCCAATGATTGCTAAGTCAGAATCCATCTTCTCGGTTGAAATTGTCTCTGTGTTTGTATATGTGGATCGCCTCATGAACGAATCTCTCATGATAGCCAGATGGCTTGCAGAGAACCTCTGTCTTGGAGAAGTCAATGTCATGTGAGCCCACTGAATTCACTCACATGACATTGACTTCTCCAAGACAGAGGTTCTCTGCAAGCCATTTGGCTACCATGAGAGATTCGTTCATGAGGCGATCCACATATACAAACACAGAGACAATTTCAACCGAGAAGATGGATTCTGGCTTAGCAATCATTGCAAGGACGTAATAAACCATTTTGGATCTTAACTGATTGTGTTCACGTTTACGGTGACTTTCAGACCGCGTTCCACTCACTGGCATGGTGCAGTGTGCAGAGTAATGTATGGTGTCGTAATTGTATAGTAAATATATAGCAGTGTGATACACATTAGGGTGGGTAGAATAATACATAGTGTTATATTAAAATGGATAAGGCAGCAACTGCAACAGCAGCAGCAACTGCAGCAGCAGCAACTGCAGCAGCAGCAACTGCAGCAGCAGCAGCAACTGCAGCAGCAACTGCAGCAGCAGCAGAAACTGCAGCAGCAGCAGAAACTGCAGTAGCAGCAGTAGCTGCAGAAGTAGCAGTAACTGCAGCAGCAGCAACTGCAGCAGCAGCAACTGCAGCAGAAGCAACTGCAGCAGCAGCAACTGCAGCAGCAGCAGCAACTGCATCTCCCTTTGATGCTGTTAATCCTGCATAATGCACATGCATATGTAGTACTAATCACATTCCTGCATTTCCCATAAATATGCTAAATTCCTCTTGATATGCAAATTCCTTTGTCAAGGCGCCCAGCTTATATATATGCTCCAAGCTCGTGTGCTGTTTCATTCAGACTCTGTCGCCTCGACGGACCTGGTTTTCACCTGAGGACGGCTGCTTGCGTTATGGCCGAAACGTCGTGAGATTAATTTTATTATGTTTTATTTTATTATTTTTTACTTCCCTTCTACGTGACTTTACCGAAAGAACCAAGAAGATGAATCCCTGCAGTCACGAAAGCTTTAAATCGAAATTCCTTTCGGTAAAGTCGTCACGTAGAAGGGAAATAATAAAAATAAAACATAATAAAATACAATTCTCACGACGTTTCGGCCACAACGCAAGCAGCCGTCCTCAGGTGAAGAACAGGTCTGTCGGAAAGACAGCGTCTGAATGACGTCGTGAGAATTGTATTTTATAATGTTTTATTTTATTATTTATTATTTCCCTTCTACGTGACTTTACCGAAAGAACCAAGAAGATGATATACGAATATACGAGTGCTTTGGATTACAAACACGTTTCCGGAACGAATTATGCTCGCAATCCAAGGTTTTACCGAATTCTGATTCTCCGATTCTGAACCCACGACCTCCAGCATACCGGGGCGAGCCACTTCACACCTCGCCACCGCGTCGATCTGCTCTCCCCTCACTCACATCCAGTGGCGATCTTCTCTCCTCATCCACCTCCTCGTCGTCGTCATCACCGCCCCCTCCACACCACTGCCACCACCGCGACCCCGGTCCGCGCTTGAGCAGGAAGGCCTCCAGCTGGGCGTGGGTGCGGCCGGGCAGGGAGCAGCCGATCGCCGCTGCGAGGCTCCCGGGGCTGGGGGGGCCTCGCCGCGACGCTGGCGGAGAGCCCGGAGGATGTCGCGCTTCTCCCGGCGGAGCCACGCTCGGGGACGGGAGACGCCGCCGCCGCCGCTGCGCCCTCGCGCCCCGCTGTCGATGATGAATCGCGAAGGGGCCGAACGCTGCCGGCTTGGGGGCTTCATGGCTGCGGCACCGAAGCCACGACCCACAACACAATTCACAGCAAACCCTACAACAACCAACACCACACCCTGCAACAACCAACACCACACCCTACAACAACCAACACCACCCCTACAACAACCAACACCACACACCACACTCTACAGGCCTACAACAACCAACACCACGCACCACACCCTACAACAACCAACACCACACCCCACACTCTACAGGCCGACAACAACCAACACCACACACCACACCCTACAACAACCAACACCACACCCCACACTCTACAGGCCGACAACAACCAACACCACACACCACACCTACAACAACCAACACCACACCCCACACTCTACAGGCCGACAACAACCAACACCACACACCACACCCTACAACAACCAACATTATTGGGGGGGACACATCCCCCCAATATTCAAATGTTCAAAATGTCCCCCCCAATATATTGCTATAAACAATATAAAACAAAAATTCTATGCTATGTAAATAAAAACTAAAATTTGCTAAAACTTGGCCACAATATCTTGACTTCTCATCATAAACAATGCATAGATTTAAGTGATTGTGGTTATGATTGTACTTCATAAATCCCTAATCTCTGTAATTACATACAATGAAACAAGAAAAGAAAAAAAAACAGAGCAATGTAATACAATACGCTATTTGACATTATTGTTAAAGAAAAGTCCATCTCATGTGTTAGTGAATTTTTTTATATTTTCGGTAGGAAATTTGTTTTCAAATTTAGATTTTTTTTCTGGGG